TGTCTGAATTTCGATTCGGAATGAAACAAACCACACATGTCTATTGGAAGATGTCCCCTTACCTTTTGTTCTGGTGATATTTAAAAAATGTAGGGCCAAGGAACCACCCATAGCCACTGCCTTATCATGTGGTGATAGTAACAAACAACCACATGAGATGAAGCCGACTCACCCAAAATTATTACAAATAAATGGTGAGATCTGCGTAATTCATTACGCTCATTCGCCCATGTGAATATCCACATTTGGATCATAAACTATGGACATAGTACCCACACTCTCAGATAGCTGAAGCAGCACTCACTATCCTAACCACTTGTCCTCCTGAGGATTTACCCCCCTTCCTGACCAGGCCATTTTTTGCGTTACGATGCTGTGTTACTTTAACTGACAATTGCGCGATCATGCAACACTGCACCCAAATGAAATTTACATCCTTTTTTTCCCCACGAATTGAGCTTTCTTTCTGTGGTATTTGATCACCTGTGCATTTTTTATTTTTTGCGCTATGAAAAAAAAAGCCCGACAATTTTGAGAAAACAAAGAATATTTTTGTTTTTTTGCTATTAATCATGTCCGGTAAAAAAATTAAAAAAATCTAATTTCGTCATAAATTTAGGCCAAAATTTATTCTGCTACATGTCTTTGCTAAAAAAGAATCCCAATACGTGTAAATTAATTGGTTTACGCTAAATTTATAGAGTCTACAAATGGCGATATATATACTGGGATTTTTCTTTTTTTTTTTTCACTAGTAATGGCAGCAATCAGTGACTTATTGCGGGACTGCCGCGGGCATTCTGACACTGGAGGGAACTGACTTGGTGTCACTGACATCCCCAGTGAAACCAATACAGTGATCAGTGCTAAAAAAAAAAACCACTGACACCAGGAGCGGACTGACCATTTGGAAACTCGGGCGCTGCCCGAGAGCCTGAGGTCAGTAGGAGGCCCCATGAGATGTCCCTGGTACCTTTTTCATAGGCTTTTTTGAGTTTGGGCAAGAACACAGGGGCCCCATGATCCCCTATTGCCCAGGGGCCCCATGAGTTGTCAGTCCACCCCTGACTAACACTGTACTAATGGCAATGGGCAGGAAGATGTTAACATGAGGAGTGATGAAAGGGTTAACTGTGTGCTGGGAGTGTTTTACTGGGGGACGGTGTGTTGGTGCTACACTGTAAGCACACTGATTGGGATGGCTGCACAATGCACAGCCATCCAGAGAAGTGTGCCTGAGCCAACAGGGATGAGGACTGTTAGTAAACAAAGCAGCCCTCCTCCCCATCAGAGATGCTCAGTAATCACCGGCTGGGACAGCCACAGCTGTGATTTTGCACACCACTTGCACCCTGTCGCAGTATTTCTTCTATAGGGCGGCATGGAAGCAGTTCAAGTGATATCTACTTAACTTTGATGGATGTTAGTCCCTTTCTGCCATCCATTATGTTTATCTGACATGTGTGAATGAGTATGATGATTGTATGGTGTGCAGGCTGTACAGCCCTTCGTTTTGACTAGACAGCGTGGTCTTTTTAAATTTTCTATGGTGTGGGGGTATCTGTGCTCTTTTAAATGTTTGTATTCCTTCAACATAATAAAGCCTGTTTTTTATTTATAAAAGTGCTTGGTCCACCTTGTAACTTCCTATTGAGCTTCTTTTTTTCCATCACTTTTTGCTCAGTACAGCACAGAAAGGGCGAATTTACCCAGTGGAGGTACAGACCACAATTAAAATATATCAAAGGTTCTAATCTTTCCCTACTCTACTTTAAACTAAAAAATTATGGCTACACATATACTTTAAATGACAGAAATCTACTTGATTAAAGTGTAAAACACATCTCTAGAGATGTAGCGTATAAATAGGCCTCCCAGCCTCCAATAAAAATACAATGTTTTAACAGCATTGGTAAAGAGCTATTGGAATTGGTCTAATAAAGGCAAATAGGCAGTTCACTTTTCAAAGGAGTTTTCACTTTGAATGGAAAGATAAGGAGAAATGTCCTAGCAAAGTTAAAATTATCTTGCAATGTAAACAGCCTATTTGACTTTAATAATCAACCCCATTATAACAATGAATGAAGTGTAGATATACATGTATACTATAACAATCATGGAAACACTCCCGTTATCTATAGTCAGTAGAGATGAGCGAAGTATTCAAAAATTCGATTCGGCTGATTCGGCGAATTCGAGGAATAAATTAGATTCGAGGCGAATATATTCGCTGCGAATTTAACTTATAAAAAGGGTGTTTCTAGGCTTCAGAGAGCCTTTATATTAGTGCAGAACACTGTACCTTTAATTTAAATGCCCTTGGAGTCTGCTGGGGAAGAGAAATAATACTGTCAGTCAGTATGACATGCAGATGAGTGCCGTCGATCTTAGAATCACCGCACACTTCACTCATTTGGGCAGTCACGGGGCCAAAACCAGAGTGTGGAGCCACAGTGTGGCGGTGGAGGCAGCAGCAATGGGAGGCCATACAGCACCCTATGACAAAATGGAACCCACCAGCAGTGTGAGGAGACCTGAAAGTGGCACATGGCAGAGTGTGGCGATGGAGACAGCAGCAATGGGAGGCCGTACAGGGACCCATGAGACACTCTGGACCTGGCAGCAGCATGAGGAGGCGGTACAGGGGCCCATGACAGATTACGGGCCTGGCAGCAGCATGAGGAGTCGGTACGGGGGCCCATGGCAGATTACGGGCCTGGCAGCAGCAATGGGAGGCCCGTAATCTGCCAGCACCCTATGACAAAATGGAACCCACCAGCAGTGTGAGGAGACCTGAAAGTGGCACATGGCAGAGTGTGGCGATGGAGACAGCAGCAATGGGAGGCCGTACAGGGACCCATGACACACTCTGGACCTGGCAGCAGCATGAGGAGGCGGGGGGTACAGGGGCCCATGACAGATTACGGGCCTGGCAGCAGCATGAGGAGTCGGTACGGGGGCCCATGGCAGATTACGGGCCTGGCAGCAGCAATGGGAGGCCCGTAATCTGCCAGCACCCTATGACAAAATGGAACCCACCAGCAGTGTGAGGAGACCTGAAAGTGGCACATGGCAGAGTGTGGCGATGGAGACAGCAGCAATGGGAGGCCGTACAGGGGACCCATGAGACACTCTGGACCTGGCAGCAGCATGAGGAGGCGGTACAGGGGCCCATGACAGATTACGGGCCTGGCAGCAGCATGAGGAGTCGGTACGGGGGCCCATGGCAGATTACGGGCCTGGCAGCAGCAATGGGAGGCCCGTAATCTGCCAGCACCCTATGACAAAATGGAACCCACCAGCAGTGTGAGGAGACCTGAAAGTGGCACATGGCAGAGTGTGTGGCGATGGAGACAGCAGCAATGGGAGGCCGTACAGGGACCCATGAGACACTCTGGACCTGGCAGCAGCATGAGGAGGCGCGGTACAGGGGCCCATGACAGATTACGGGCCTGGCAGCAGCACATGAGGAGGGTCGGGTACGGGGGCCCATGGCAGATTACGGGGCCTGGCAGCAGCAATGGGAGGCCCGTAATCTGCCAGCACCCTATGACAAATGGAACCCACCAGCAGTGTGAGGAGACCTGAAAGTGGCACATGGCAGAGGTGTGTGGCGATGGAGACAGCAGCAATGGGAGGGCCGTACAGGGACCCATGAGACACTCTGGACCTGGCAGCAGCATGAGGAGGCCGGTACAGGGGCCCATGGACAGATTACGGGCCTGGCTGGCAGCAGCATGAGGAGTCGGTACGGGGGCCCATGGCAGATTATGGGCCTGGCAGCAGCAATGGGAGGCCCGTAATCTGCCAGCACCCTATGACAAAATGGAACCCACCAGCAGTGTGAGGAGACCTGAAAGTGGAACATGGCAGAGTGTGGGCGATGGAGACAGCAGCAATGGGGAGGCCGTACAGGGACCCATGAGACACTCTGGACCTGGCAGCAGCATGAGGAGGCGGGTGGTACGGGGGGCCCATGGCAGATTACGGGCCTGGCAGCAGCAGCAATGGGAGGCCCGTAATCTGCCAGCACCCTATGACAAAATGGAACCCACCAGCAGTGTGAGGAGACCTGAAAGTGGCACATGGCAGAGTGTGGCGATGGAGACAGCAGCAATGGGAGGCCGTACAGGGACCCATGAGACACTCTGGACCTGGCAGCAGCATGAGGAGGCGGGGGGTACGGGGGCCCATGGCAGATTACGGGCCTGGCAGCAGCAATGGGAGGCCCGTAATCTGCCAGCACCCTATGACAAAAAAATGGAACCCACCAGCAGTGTGAGGAGACCTGAAAGTGGCACATGGCAGAGTGTGGCGATGGAGACAGCAGCAATGGAGGCCGTACAGGGACCCATGAGACACTCTGGACTGGCAGCATGACCTTGGTACGGGGGCCCATGGACAGATTACGGGCCTGGCAGCAGCATGAGGAGGCTCTGGGAGGCGGTACAGGGGCCCATGGCAGATTACGGGCCTGGCTGCAGCAATGGGATGGGAGGCCCGTAATCTGCCAGCACCCTATGACAAAATGGAACCCACCAGCAGTGTGAGGAGACCTGAAAGTGGCACATGGCAGAGTGTGGCGATGGAGACAGCAGCAATGGGAGGCCGTACAGGGACCCATGAGACACTCTGGACCTGGCAGCAGCATGAGGAGGCGGTACAGGGGCCCATGGCAGATTACGGGCCTGGCAGCAGCAATGGGAGGCCCGTAATCTGCCAGCACCCTATGACAAAATGGAACCCACACCAGCAGTGTGAGGAGACCTGAAAGTGGCACATGGCAGAGTGTGGCGATGGAGACAGCAGCAATGGGGGGCCGTACAGGGACCCATGAGACACTCTGGACCTGGCAGCAGCAGCATGAGGAGGCGGTACGGGGGCCCATGGCAGATTACGGGCCTGGCAGCAGCAATGAGGAGGCGGTACGGGGGCCCTATGACAAATTATGGAACCCACCAGCAGTGTGAGGAGGCCTGCGTAATGGCCCATGGCATGACTGAAAACCCATGGCAGCAGTGTGGGAGGCCTGAAAGTGGTAGCAGTCTGCCAGCACATGACAGTGACAAAATGGAGACAGCAGCAATGGCAGAGGCCGCACGTACAGGGACCCATGATGGCAGTGTCTGGACCTGAAAGTGGCAGCAGATGAGGAGGCGATGGAGACAGCACAGGGGCCCATGGCAGATTACGGGGGCCTGGCAGCAGCAATGGGAGGGGCCCTGGTAATCTGCCAGCAACCCTATGACGGTAATGGAACACACCAGCAGTGTGAGGAGACCTGAAAGTGGCACATGGCAGAGTGTGGCGATGGAGACAGCAGCAATGGGAGGGCCGTACAGGGACCCATGAGACACTCTGGACCTGGCAGCAGCATGAGGAGGCGGTACGGGGGCCCATGGCAGATTACGGGCCTGGCAGCAGCAATGGGAGGCCCGTAATCTGCCAGCACCCTATGACAAAAATGGAACCACCAGCACCAGCAGTGTGAGGAGACCTGAAAGTGGCACATGGCAGAGTGTGGACCCGATGCAGCAATGGGAGGCCGTACAGGGGCCATGACAGACTCTGGCCTGGGCACATGAGGAGGAGGCAGCCTGGAGACCTGCAATGGCAGGGGCCCATGGCAGATTACGGGCCTGGCAGCAGCAATGGGAGGCCCGTAATCTGCCAGCACCCTATGACAAAATGGAACACCACCAGCAGTGTGAGGAGACCTGAAAGTGGCACATGGCAGAGTGTGGCGATGGAGACAGCAGCAATGGGAGGCCGTACAGGGACCCATGAGAGACTCTGGCCTGGCAGCAGCATGAGGAGGCGGTACGGGGGCCCATGGCAGATTACGGGCCTGGCAGCAGCAGCAATGGGAGGCCCGTAATCTGCCAGCACCCTATGACAAAATGGAAACCCACCAGCAGTGTGAGGAGACCTGAAAGTGGCACATGGCAGAGTGTGGCGATGGAGACACAGCAGCAATGGGAGGCCGTACAGGGACCCATGAGACACTCTGGACCTGGCAGCAGCATGAGGAGGCGGGGTACAGGGGTACAGAGGGGCCCATGGCAGATTACGGGCCTGGCAGCAGCAATGGGAGGCAGCAATGGGAGGCCCGTACAGCACCCTATGACAAAATGGGAACCCACCAGCAGTGTGAGGAGACCTGAAAGTGGCAGTGGCACATGGCAGAGTGTGGCGATGGAGACAGCAGCAATGGGAGGCCGTACAGGGACCCCCATGAGACACTCTGGACCTGGCAGCAGCATGAGGAGGCGGTACAGGGGCCCATGACAGATTACGGGCCTGGCAGCAGCATGAGGAGGATCGGTACGGGGGCCCATGGCAGATTACGGGCCTGGCAGCAGCAATGGGAGGCCCGTAATCTGCCAGCACCCTATGACAAAATGGAACCCACCAGCAGTGTGAGGAGACCTGAAAGTGGCACATGGCAGAGTGTGGCGATGGAGACAGCAGCAATGGGAGGCCGTACAGGGACCCATGACACACTCTGGACCTGGCAGCAGCATGAGGAGGAGGACGGTACAGGGGCCCATGACAGATTACGGGCCTGGCAGCAGCATGAGGAGTCGGTACGGGGGCCCCATGGCAGATTACGGGCCTGGCAGCAGCAATGGGAGGCCCGTAATCTGCCAGCACCCTATGACAAAAATGGAACCCACCAGCAGTGTGAGGAGACCTGAAAGTGGCACATGGCAGAGTGTGGCGATGGAGACAGCAGCAATGGGAGGCCGTACAGGGACCCATGACACACTCTGGACCTGGCAGCAGCATGAGGAGCATGAGGAGGCGGGTACAGGGGCCCATGACAGATTACGGGCCTGGCAGCAGCATGAGGAGTCGGTACGGGGGCCCATGGCAGATTACGGGCCTGGCAGCAGCAATGGGAGGCCCGTAATCTGCCAGCACCCTATGACAAAATGGAACCCACCAGCAGTGTGAGGAGACCTGAAAGTGGCACATGGCAGAGTGTGGCGATGGAGACAGCAGCAATGGGAGGCCGTACAGGGACCCATGAGAGACTCTGGACCTGGCAGCAGCATGAGGAGGCGGTACAGGGGCCCATGACAGATTACGGGCCTGGCGCAGCATGAGGAGTCGGTACGGGGGCCCATGGCAGATTACGGGCCTGGCAGCAGCAATGGGAGGCCCGTAATCTACAGCACCCTATGACAAAATGGAACCCACCAGCAGTGTGAGGAGACCTGAAAGTGGCACATGGCAGAGTGTGGCGATGGAGACAGCAGCAATGGGAGGCCGTACAGGGACCCATGACACACTCTGGACCTGGCAGCAGCATGAGGAGGCGGTACAGGGGCCCATGACAGATTACGGGCCTGGGCAGCAGCATGAGGAGTCGGTACGGGGGCCCATGGCAGATTACGGGCCTGGCAGCAGCAATGGGAGGCCCGTAATCTGCCAGCACCCTATGACAAAATGGAACCCACCAGCAGTGTGAGGAGACCTGAAAGTGGCACATGGCAGAGTGTGGCGATGGATGGAGACAGCAGCAATGGGAGGCCGTACAGGGACCCATGAGACACTCTGGACCTGGCAGCAGCAAGAGGAGGCGGTACAGGGGCCCATGGCAGAGTGGCGAAGCGCGTAAGCAGCTTAAATTGAAGGCCATACAGAGGCCTATGTTAAAAATAATAACATGTTTGGGGCATGATTCATGGCGGATTTAGTCAGTTGTGTCAGGAACTGGTGGTTTGAAATCCAGACTAATCCACGCCTGATTCATTTTCACAAACGTGAGTCTCTCCACACTTTGGGTGGACAGTCGTGTCCTCGCGCGGAGTTACAATACCTCCTGCCGCACTAAACACGCGCTCCGATGCCACGCTACTGGCCGGGCATGACAGCCTTTCAAGGGCAAATTCAGCTAGTTGGGGCCAAAGGTCAAGTTTCGTTGCCCAGTAGTCAAGGGGATTGTCTACCTCGGTTGGCAGGGTGCTGTCCAAGTAGGCCCAAGCCTGTTGTTTGAGGTCCTGCTCCAGGTCCACCTGATGCTGCTGCTGCTGCTGGGCTGGTTAGTAGTTTCCTCACTGCGCTGGTGAAGAAAGCTACTCATCATCGACTGCAGACTGAGGCAGCCGCTGCTGGTGGAGCTGCCACTGCTCCTACCACCCCACCCCCCCCTGCTGCCATGGCAGCGGAACGCGAGCGCACAGGGCCCACAGTGTCTGAGGATGGACGTTGGCGCAGAAAGGCAGAGACCAACTGACTACATAGGTGGTTTTTATAGTACGTTATTTTGGCCTCCCTCTCAGCAGGTGTGAAAAAGGCCACCATTTTTGAACGGTAGCGAGGGGTCCAACAAGGTGGACAGCCAAAAGTCATCCCTCTGTCTGATGGTTATTATTCGGCTGTCGCTACGCAAGCAACCGAGCATGCTATGGGCCATTTGTGCCAAGGAATGCGAGGGACTCCCTGCCTCCATCTCCACAGCATACTGCCACGGTGCGTCTGGGTCCTCTGTCTCCTCCTCCTCCTCCTCTACCAGATGCTCCTGCTCCTCCACTCCTGTCCGCTGAGTGGGAAAAAACCACCCATTTCACTCAATAATTCCTGAGCACCAATGTCCTCCTCTACCTCCTCCTCCTCTTCTTCCTGTCCTGCCCCCACAGGGGTCATGTGGCGTTGAGATCTGTGCGCCACGTCTACCGCACCCTGACCAGCCATTTGTTAACAGCATTTGTTCCAGGACGTGCAACAGAGGAATGACGTCGTTCATCCCATAGTCCTGCCGACTCACGAATAGCGTGGCCTCCTCAAAGGGCCTGAGCAAGCGGCAGGTGTCACGCATGAGCTGCCAATGGCTGACATCTAAGTTACACAGGGGAGTACCTTTATCCGCTTGTAACATCAGGAAATCGGTGATGGCCTTTCGCTGTTCGTAAAGGCGGTCTAACATATGTAGGGTTGAATTCCACCTTGTTGCAACGTCGCAGATCAGGCGATGCTGTGGAATTCCGTTCTGCCGCTGCAGCTCAAGGAGGGTGTGCTTTGCGGTGTAGGAATGGCTGAAATGCATGCAAAGTTTACGTGACATTTTAAGGATGTCTTGCAGTGGGATGGTGGATTTTAGGAACCGCTTGACAACCAGATTGAACACGTGAGCCATGCATGGCGCATGGCACAACCTTCCTTGACGCAGAGCAGACACCATGTTCTTTCCGTTGTCGGTCAACATGGTTCCGATTTTCAGTTTTGCGCGGAGACAGCCATCTGTCGATTTCTCTGTTCATTACACTCAGAAGTTCCTCCCCTGTGTGACTACGTTCGCCAAGGCATACCAGGTGCAGCACAGCGTGACACCGTTGCGCCCTGCACATGTGATATGCCGGTCGGGTAATGGGACTTGGCACTTGGCGGGGGGGTGGCGGCTGAGGACACGGCGGAAGAAGAGGTGGTAGAGGCGGACATCTTTTCTGGACCAAGGACGTGCAAACGTGGAGGCAAAAGCGGCGTGACCTGTCCAAGTTGCTGGTGCGGCTGTGCCGGCACCACGTTCACCCAGTGGGCCGTAAATGACATGTGTACTGTCCCTGACCGTAGTTACAGCTCCACACGTCGGCGCTGCCGTGCACTTTGGCAGAGACCGACATGCTCAAAGACTGGCCCACCATCTCTCTACATGTGAATGCAGGGCTGGCACTGCCTTTTTTGGCGAAGAAATGCCGGCTTGGCACTCTCCACCGCGGCGCGGCACAAGCCATCATTTCTCGGAAAGGTGCTGAGTCCACCACTTGGAAAGGGAGGGACTGCAGCACCAGCAACTTGGACAGGAGGACGTTCAGCTTTTGCACCGTCGGGTGCGTGCTCGCAAACTGTTGTCTCTTGGAAACGGATTCCAAGAAAGACTGCTGACGGAATCCGTGAAGAGGAGTAGCAGGAGAAGGAGCATCTGAACGAGCGGAAGATGCCAACGAGCGACAACTCCCCTCAGCAGAGGTGTTGGAGCCTTGACTGGCTGATAGAGGGCGATTGACGTCGGGTGACGGAGCAAGTAACGGAGCGGGTGATGGAGCGGGGGCTGGGGGGCAGGCAGAACCGCCGTATCTTTTATCACGGTTTTCCCAGGCCACCGAATGGCGACGCTGCATATGCTGACGCAACGCTGTAGTCCCAACATGGGCCCCCTGGCCACGCTTGACTTTCTGGCCACATAGTCGACATACGGCTACGTTTACTTCCTCGGGCGGCTTGACGAAAAATTGCCACACCGCCGAGTAGGAAACTTTGCCCCCGCTACTCCTCACTGGCTGACTGCTACTTCCTCCGTGCACACCGGCACCACTACTGGCCGTGGTGGTGGTAGGCTGCAGTGGAGCTGGTGCTCTACTCCGTGGCCGTTTGCCTCCACTGACACTGCTGCGACCCTGCTGCCTCCTGGGCAACCCACCGACTGTTTTGCTCGCTGCCAAGCTGGCACCCTCTTCTCCTGATGATGCGGAAGCAATAGCCTGATGACGACGAGGCTGCCAAGTGCGATCAGCCTCATCATCATCAATTAGGGTCTCCGCCTCACTACTAGCCCCCTCGGCTGCGTGTGGGTCAGGAGACAGACCTGTCTCTAGACCGGCTACCGAGCCACTCTCCTCGCCAGTACTTCTTCGCCTGGCTGCTGAAGAGGCGGATGTCTCCCCCCGTTCCTGACCGCCCTCTGTTAGCTCTTCCTCACTGTACAGTGGGGCTGAGCCCACAGCATGCGATACTTCGCTTGGTGAGGGAACACCAAAGGACAGGGGCAGGTAGAGGACACGTGATTTCAGTGGGCTTGCTCCCGGGCCATGCCAACTAACGGTTGTGTCTGACGTACCCACCGACCGTTGGCTGTAGGTGTCAGAGGTGACCTGGGAAGAGGAAGACGACCGAGCCAACCAATCGATGACGGCAGGGTTGTCGGTGGAGACACGACCGCTGGATGACACCGGGAGCACTGGCCTCTGGCTGCGACTAGTGCTGCCTCGACCCCTTCCTCTGCTGCCACGTCTGCTCGCTCCTGAAACATTGCCTCCTCTCTGCCACTCCTCTGCGTGTTGTCTGACATACTCTTTAATTCAACGATTCTGTGTCCCTGAGTAACGATTCTGTGTCCCTGAGTAACAATTCTGTGTGTCCCTGAGTAACAATTCTGTGTCCCTGAGTAACAATTCTGTGTCCCTCAGTAACAATTCTGTGTCCCTCAGTAACAATTCTGTGTCCCTCAGTAACAATTCTGTGTCCCTCAGTAAAATTCTGTGTCCCTCAGTAACAATTCTGTGT